CACAGCAGCGCCCACTGAGATCTGGAGCTCGCGGTTGAGGCCCGGCAGCGCCCACTGAGATCTGGAGCTTGCAATTGAGGTCCGGCAGTGCCCACTGAGATCTGGAGCTCGCAGTTGAGGTCCTGCAGTGCCCACTGAAAGCTGGAGCTCGTGCCTCATGTCATCCCTCTATGGGAAAACTACCGCTTGCCGCGCTGATCCGCACTCTCCATTCTATGGGCAAACCAGGTATACGGCCGCGCTGATCCGCGCCGATCCGCGCTCTTCATTCGATGGGAAAACCAATTATGGCCGCGCTGATCCGCACTGATCCGCGCTCTTCATTCTATGGGAAAACCACTTACGGCCGCGCTGATCCGCGCTGATCCGCGCTCTTCATTCTATGGGAAAACCGTTTATGGCCGCGCTGATCCGCGCTCTTCATTCTATGGGAAAACCATTTATGGCCGCGCTGATCCGCGCTGATCCGCGCTCTTCATTCTATGGGAAAACCAATTATCGCCGCGCTGATCCGCGCTGATCCGCGCTGGTCCGCGCTGATCCGCGCTCTTCATTCTATGGGAAAACCATTTATGGCCGCGCTGATCCGCGCTGATCCGCGCTGATCCGCGCTCTTCGTCCTATGGGAAAGTCATTTATGGCCGCGCTGATCCGCGCTGATCCGCGCTCTTCATTCTATGGGAAAACCAATTATGGCCGCGCTGATCCGCGCTGATCCGCGCTGATCCGCGCTCTTCATTCTATGGGAAAACCATTTATGGCCGCGCTGATCCGCGCTGATCCGCGCTGAACCGCGCTCTTCATTCTATGGGAAAACCATTTATGGCTCTTCATAAGAGCGCGGATCAGCGCGGATGAGCGCGGATCAGCGCGGCCATAAATGGTGTTCCCATAGAATGAAGAGCGCGGTTCAGCGCGGATCAGCGCGGATCAGCGCGGCCATAATTGGTTTTCCCATAGAATGAAGAGCGCGGATCAGCGCGGATCAGCGCGGATCAGCGCGGCCATAATTGGTTTTCCCATAGAATGAAGAGCGCGGATCAGCGCGGATCAGCGCGGCCGTAAATGGTTTTCCCATAGAATGAAGAGCGCGGATCAGCGCGGATCAGCGCGGCCATAAATGGTTTTCCCATAGAATGAAGAGCGCGGTTCAGCGCGGATCAGCGCGGCCATAAATGGTTTTCCCATAGAATGAAGAGCGCGGATCAGCGCGGATCAGCGCGGATCAGCGCGGATCAGCGCGGCCATAATTGGTTTTCCCATAGAATGAAGAGCGCGGATCAGCGCGGCCATAAATGGTTTCCCCATAGAATGAAGAGCGCGGATCAGCGCGGATCAGCGCGGCCATAAATGGTTTTCCCATAGAATGAAGAGCGCGGATCAGCGCGGATCAGCGCGGCCAAAAATGGTTTTCCCATAGAATGAAGACGCGGATCAGCGCGGATCAGCGCGGCCATACATGACTTTCCCATAGAATGAAGAGCGCGGATCAGCGCGGATCAGTGCAGCCGTAAGTGGTTTTCCGATATAGATCAGCGCGGATCAGCGCGGCAATCCATGGTTTTCCCTTAGAGTGATGAGCGCGGATCGGGGCGGAGATGCCTTTTTGTTTTGTGTTTCTGCCTTGAATTTGGCCCAGAGAAGGTTTAAAGGCATCTATTCTTATACAGACAGTGTCTCGCATTGAAAAAGCATGCAAACTTACGATTTTCACTTAGTTTTCGACAAGCAGATTTTTTTTGGACAGGATGGGTCCAAGGTTTCAGCAAAGGGAAAGATTCAAGAGGGGGTACAGAGATCAAAGGAGAATGAGTTGTGATCAACGACAGGAATGCGGCTTAGAAAATCCCTCGCAGTTTGCACCTGTGGAAATTTAGTCTGATGGAAGCTGCGCTGCAAAGCCCAGCCAGCAATAAGGTTGTTGACCATCAAGACGATGAGCAGTGCCCACGAGATTCGTGCTCCGCCACCTCTGGCTCTGGCGATGAAGATGCCAGCCGCCCTGAAGCTGCCACCTGGCAGCAAAATTCGATGGCGGTGGATTAAAGCCACTGTTTGAGAAACCATGACCATGTCATGGACGGCTGGTGAATTGCGACTATTGCACCTTCGATTTTGAAACATAACAGTAGCCATTTGGTATCAAGAGCTAGCATTCTGCAATCTTTGACGTTGTTCCCGTGGGTGGACTTGAATTTCGTACCAGAAGTGGGGCGATGGCATTGTCTTCTGTGCCAATCGAAACTTCTGCGGATGGATGCGATTTGCCCACGTGCTTCACGTGTAATCAGAAAGCCCGATCCTTGGATATGTTCATGCCAGAAGATACTCGCACGACTTTGAAGTGGAGCAAGTTCGGGAAGAACAAAGAGTCTTGTTTGCACACGAGCAGCTGCCATCCGTCCTAGGGCTTGTTACCAACATACCTGTCATCTGTCCAATCGACACTGCATCTCCATCTCACGGATGGCAACTTGAAAAGCGCTATTTCACGTATGGACATGCGGGGTTTTCAAGAGATTGTGTTCTCCTGGTCCGGGGTTGGTGGAAATTGGGGAAAACTACGACAAGATTTGAGCCATCAGTTTCCATCCGTGCCAAATCTAGGAATGGTTGACATGGTTTGCAGCTTGCATGAGACGGTACATGAGTTTGGCTTTGCATGTCACTAAAAATATATGGGCTTGGCTGGGGTAGGTTTGCCTCACCTTGGCTGTGGCCTTGTCCGGCTTTTCCGTGTTTTTAGGCCACTGGCATTCGCGATGTTGAACAAGGAAATGAATGCGGTTGTTGCACTGTGTGCCTGGCTCGGTTTCGTTTTCATGGACCGATAGTCGACCCATATCAGTGCAACTTTACGGACGTTTGATGATCACAACCCTCTTGAGTTCACTTTGGATCATCCAAAGGACGTCTTTTTTGCATTTGTGATCCAAATGACAAGAATTTCCATGATGATAATGATCTTGAAATTGCCGTCTAGCCGCTAGCCGGTTGCCAGGGCTCTTTTTGCAAGGATCTAATGACGATGTTGGTGATGATGATGATGATGATGACGATGATGACGATGCATGGTCGAAATGGTGAATCTGCGCGATGCCGTGCCGATATGGAAAACGTGCATTTTTTTCGTAGTCTTGTGTAGTGTTTTGTGCACGGCTCGGTTCGAAAAAGCCTTCCCCCAGCTGAAGCTGTACCACATGCTCCGACACCCTCGGTGCGGCCGGATTTTTCCAATGGCTGATATAATATCATCAATTGATATCATTTTAACCTCATGAATTTTATCAGTCTTCCCTTGCCCGTCTAAAACCCCAATTTGATGAATCTTAAACTATCAACATTCTAGTGGGTCAGTAATAAAACATGAGCACCACATTTTCCACGAACACGTGACAGGTGACCCGGCTCAAGAATTTTGGAGGAATCCCCCAAGAAAAGCTGATGGAATTGAAGGACTCGAACGAGGCCAGTTCAAGGGCTTGCTGGTCCGGGGTGGTGCGAAAAAAGCTCGTGGCTAGAATTGCTTCTTTCCCCGCCGTGTAAACATTTGCACAACATTCGGATGTGAGAAAAACGCATTAAAAGGCGAACCGCCCTCAATTCTAAAGTGCCTTGCTACGGAATACTTAGGTCAAAGGAGGTTAGTTAGTCCTAGTTCGTAGCTGTAAGGATCCAGTTTGTTGTTTCATGAGTACGATCGATATTGATCCATCCCCCAATAAATAATCATCCATCAAGCAGAAGCAGAGATTTGCTTTTTCGAGTTGAGTAGGTGGTCGTTGAATCCCAGTGGCTGCATCTACAGGAGCTGAACTCCGCTTGGGAAAACAAGCGGCGATACAACACGTCCAAGGGCCGCAAGACCTATGAGCGCTTGGACCTTACGGCTTACAAGAAGGAAGAGGTCTATTCAGACGTGTTCCAGGATGGCGAGATCACTCCCATTGACGATTTCCTGATAGACAAGGGCTTTTCTCCCCTGGACTTTGGTTCTACCAAGGAAAAGCTGGAGTTTGTGGAGCAGGAGACCGCATTTTATCCATTGTTCCTCCAGCTTGTGTTTTTATACTATAGTTCCAGAAATGGCTTTGGCACGCTGTGACATAGATTATGTTACACATAGATACGGCCCAAAACGCCGCCTGGTGTACGGTGTACGAGTTTTCAATTTCGTTGAGATGGCCAGATTGTACAACGTGAGCCTTTGCGCTGCAGAGCAGGAGCTTGGTGCGCGGCCATATGATGACAATGGTGTGCCGTCAGTCATCGAGATGACAGGCAAAAAGAAGATCAAGATTGGTCAGCGATCTGCCATTGGGAAGAAGCAGGACATGATGCGACTTTCACTCTCATGTTGTCAAGCAAGGTGTTCCCCATAAGCCTTGGCAGAAATTTTGGCTGAAATCGCGATTTGGCTCCGGGTCACAGCGTTTCCTTCCTTTCCCCCACCACCTGTCCAGTCTCATTTCCATCTTCCTTGCTTCCCCTTCCCCGTTTCATTTCGTCTTCTTGCCCCTTATCTCTCCTTTCTTCCCTGTCCTCTCCCCTTTTCATGTTTCTCTTCGCCTTGCCTTTCCTTACGGTTCTTCACCCTTTTCTCATCGTTTTCTCAAACATTTTGCTGGTGTTAGTCTCTCTTTCTTCACCTTACCTCATCTTTCATCACCTTTCTTCTCCCTTCCCTTTTCCCCCATCTTTCCACCACATGCCCCGAGTCCTTCCTTTGTCTTTCCCCGCATCTTTGCCTGCCTTTCTTCACCTTTCACGGGCTTTCTCGCTTGTCACCTTTCCTCGCTACCTTTCCCCCCCTTCCCGGCCTCCCAACCTTATTCCACAAATTCATTTCCCTCCCGCCTTCCTTACCACTCCCCTAAAGATGAATGGGCGCTGTCGTCTTACAACGTTCATATACACCGCGGAACGTAACTGACAATATTGCTTCCTCAAAACTTACAAACATTAAATTACAATAGAAGCAACCACAACGGGCTTTGATCATGTTGCTGAGAATTTTAAGATTCAAGCCAGCACAATATCACACCTTGCAGGAGCGCAAGTTCGAGACAGGAAGAGGAGCTGCTGAACAGCACAGGGCCGATGCTAGGGGCATGTTGGACAGCCACAAGTCATGGGGCAAATCAACAAAGGCTAGCATTGATAAGAAAGTGGCAGCATTGCGACAGAATGGTTCGGATGCTGAAGATTCCCCTCTTGCCATCAAGGATGGCACAATGAGCGACTCAGGGTCTGACAAGGAGTTTGGGTTCTCAAGCAACTTGATGGGCTCCCAGCCATCCGGAAGCAGATCGCGCAAGCGCTCTCCTTCTCCTGGTGGAGATGCTCCCGGCAGATCAAAAAAGCGAAACGCAGCTCCTGGCCTTGGTGATCACCCCGTGCCTTCCACTGCCACCGCTTCCAAACTTCGTTCTTCAACTGAGGAGGCCGCGTGTGAGAAAGCCCAAGCGGCTCTTGACAAGGCCAAGGAGAGTTTCAGTGAAGAGAAGTTGTGGGAGACCAAAATTCGAGCACGTCAGATCGAGAACGTGTCCAACAGCCTGGCAACCTTGTCTACTCCGCTGTCTAGCAGCGAAAATCTTCAAACTCAGACCTTGTGTAAGGACATGATGCACTTTGCTGAGAAGACAGAGAAGATCTTCAAACTTTTCCAAGCGGTTCGACAAGCGCCTCTCGAGTCAATCAAGGCCTTGACGGATGAGCACAAGGCCGCCACTCGCATGTTATGCCCGCCTGTGATCTCCAAGGTCTCGACTTGGCTGGCCACCCAGGCCTTGAAAGATTTGGAAAATGACGCCACTTTGCAGCAGCGGACTGAAGCCTTGTTCCACCTCATGTCGCTCCATCGGGAAGGCTTTACCTTGCGCACCTATGCGGAAGCTGCTGCCAAAGATTCGGGAGAACAAGCACCAGGCCCGTCCGTAGAGCCCGGAGCTCGTGGACTGCAACTGCAGCTGTTTTCAATGTGGATTGACAAAGTCTTTCGGGCCAAGAACGAGCAGAAATTTCGCCGATTGGTTGCCCAGTTGCTCGTTGGACGGATCTGATTCTTTTTGATTTTGCATAATCGGCACATGTTCCAAATTTGCACATTCATGTTTTGGGACAATTGCCTGCGTACTCTAGATATAGTATACAGCTGCAGTTGGAGTGAAAGTTTCCCAAAATAATTAGGAGTCAGGGGTTTACGCTTCTTCGCTTTAAATTTCCCGATCCTCTCAAACAGCGAGCTCAGGGCACCGAGCTTTGCCGTCAAGCTGCACAACTTTGACGCAGAAGCTCCTCTCAACTTTGAAGACGGTGAGAACCATTGCACCAAGCTTCGCTTGGAGACTTTCACCCTCAAGACCATGACCAAAGATTTTGAGGCAGCTGGTCATCACCAAAGCATTAGTTCTTCTTCCTCTTCCTAAGTCATCTTCATTACTGATCGAACAATCTGATTTTGGATTTCCGTTCCCCAGTCATGGTCAGAAAAAATAGCGGGCCTCAAACACTTTGCAGGCTGCCGGCCCAATCGCTTTGTCTTCAGCAAAAGCGGTCGTTGACGCGAAAGGTAGGTTGTCCATGAAATTTCAATCCAGCTTGAAAAGTTCCTCTACAATGAGGACTGGCGTTTTTACCCCAAATTCTGTTCTGATGTAGTCCGGATTCAGGAGTGCGCAGTCTGTTCAGATTTGAATTCTCGATTGGAATCAAAGACAAAAGTAAACAAAGACAAAAGTAAACTAACATGTTAAGTGGTTCATCGAATTTTGGTCTGGGTGTAGCACGGTGAACTTTGAATCATGACAAAGCCGTTGCTTTTTGATCATGACAGTGATTTATTTGCATTTCTAATTTGCCTACAGGAGCCTCTGGACCAGCCTTGAAGAGGTGTCACTTCGGGCCATGTCAAGTGGTTCAATGGAGGACGAGCTCAAGAAGGCGTTGTCTGAATTTCCAGCCGAGAAGTTCCATCATTGCAGGGGCATTGGCAATGCAGAAGGCTTACTGGAGCTGATGGCCGACCACGCTACCATGCAGAAACTTCAGAGCTTTTGCCAGGCCAGCCAGCGCTTTGACGCAATGGTGGAGGAAGAGATGTCAGAAAATCCTGAAGGGCAGCTTCCACAGATTTCAGAAGCCACCGAAGTGAACCAGCTCATGGATTCAATGACCTCTTTTTTCCAACGGCGAACCAAAGAGTCACTGGAGGTCTTGCGTGGCCAGCTGGCCGCCTACAGCAAGTGGGGAAATGGAGGGAACTTCCAGAAGGATGTGAGCACCATCCAGGTGATCATCAAGAATGCAGTTCCGGTGTTGCAGATGCTCAAGGTGGATGGGTGGGAAAAGGTGGACGCAGCTGCAGCAGTTGAGCCGATGATGGAGCTCCTCAAGGCGTTTCAGGACTGCTTTCCAGTGGTGCAGAAGATTGAGCAAGAGCTCACGCTTGATGGATTCATAACCTGCTCGGCAGAGTTGGTCAAAGTAGTTTCTGGGCAACACCTCCGCTCTTTGAAAGAATTCCAAAGCTCTGCGCCAGAAGGTGGGGGTGGCCAAACCGTGGGAGTGCTGATCACGGGCCATGGGTTACTAGCCAAAACAAATTGGGTGCAAGTCAAACTATAAGGTCCGGAAGAAGGTCCGGAACCACACCCGTTCCATACCCCCGTTCCATACCACCTGTTCCATACCTCCAGACCCGTTCCATACCCGTTCCAGACCTGGACCGCCCGAGTACCACCCCTGACCCACTTCCGGGTGAACAAATGGCAGGTTCTCACATAGACTGCTCCTAAGCCATCCTTTGCGCGTGGGTTATGGGAGCCTAGAATCTTGCTACGCGGGGACACAATCTACCCCATAGGGACCTTTAAGTTTTAAGAGTAGGAGGTGGGACCTGCGTGACAGGTCTGAAGCTGAGTGGACAGCTTCACATGGTAGCCAGTGTGTGACGCTGGCTACCGGTTGTGTCCTAGCTAGTGCGCGAGCACTAGCCATGCAAGGCAAACCTGCGTTGAACAGGTGTACAACAAGGATGCCGTGTAGATGAGGAGCGAAAATGAGTGGCAGCCAGCGTGAGTAGCTTCAACGGGCATATCCTTGAGATGTATTAAAGACATACACGGTATACGTAGATAATATATTATTATATAATATATTTATTGATTTATTTATGTATGCATAGCCCATATTTCATCACACTCCAAAGGTCCGGAACAAGGCCAGTTGCTAAGCCCCTGTTCCATACGTCCGGAACACCGCAGAACGTTCGATACACAATTTTGACTTACAGCCAAGTCAACTTTTTTTTGCCATTGTTTTCTTTCCTGTGCCTGCAGGGTGTCCTGACGCATGTCTGGACTTCATCAGTTTGATTGTGAAGGCATTCGATGAAGTTGCGATGAAACCTAAGACCTGGGTAGCATGCCTGCTCCAGCAGGGACGCGCGCAGGATCTTGTGGATCTGAAGGCTTCAGTGAAAGCAAGCCTAGGAGGTCCTGTGCAAGACATTTGCAATGGTGCAGAAATCCTTTTGAAGTTTGATTCCAAGGAGGGCATCCTGTCCAAAGCAAGCTATGAGAGCAAGTCCGATGTCAAGGAAGCACTGATGTCCTTGATGCAGCTGAAAAGCTTGCAGACCGATGAGCTCATCAAGTGTTTGCCAGACACAGTCGACAAGTACAATGCTGCGAAGGGCAAAATCAGCCAGTGCATCTCTGACCTTGCTGCGAACATGAAAGCTACGAAAACGGAGTGCCTCCCCTTCCACCAGAAGTTTTCCAAAGTGCTGGAGTGCTGCTCCACTTGGGATTTCGGTGAGGTTGGCGACCTGATTGACAACACCGACTCCGAAAATGGCAAGCTAGTTGAAGCAGCGATGAAAGGGATCATGCCAGGCGCGGTCCTGCAGGGGTGTTCGGTTGAAGTGGCCACAGTGTGACAGTGTCAAATGTTTGCAAGGTGCAACTATCATTGAGCCACGCTGCTTTCTTTCCTTATATATAATAATTTAGTATGCCGTGGCACCCCGCCATCTGAGCGTCCTAGCATTCCGCGTCCTTCACAAGGTCTTGCTAAGATCCAAGACGCGGAGGAGCTACTTTCCACAGTTGTTGCTTGGCTTCCTAGCAAGGACTCGTTGGGACTGGAGGAGAAGATGTTCGGAGCAGTCAATGAAGCTATGACGAGTTGGCCGACCGCATCCATGCTTGGTTTGGACATTCTAGCCCCGATGGCAGTTGAACTTCTGCTTCGTGAGCATGGTGGGGCCATTGACAAATGCTCTGAGATTCTGGTGGGCATTGATTCATTGCAGAAATACGCTGCCAAGACCCTGAAGATCAACCGAAAGGATTGGCCAAAGGTGATTTCCGACCGCGCGGAGAAGGCGGTCAAGGACTGGACAGAGCGGGTTCCGAAGTTGAATCTGTTGCTTTCATTTTTCATTGGAATGTTGTTGAGGAGAATGCTTTGGCATGCAGGTATCGGCTTTTGTATGCAACCTTCTTCTGTGTAGCTGCAAAGTTCAGCAGCAGATGAGAGACATGAAATAATACAAATCTGACCATATGACATGAACCTGAAAGTCTCAGCTGTCCATTTCCCACACCCAATCTCAATGGGCAAACCACGCCATCATGAGGACTTGAAAAAATTGGTGGACAACGCGAAAATGCCACCACCTGCGGCGCTTCCTTCCCCAAGCCCCCGAAGAGGAAAAGGTAAGGGGCATGCCAAACCCGCTACAGAGAGCAGTGAACCGAAGAGGAGGGCAAAGGTGAAGAGTAGTCCAAAGTGAGGTGTGACCATTAGACTTGCCAAGCTAGCCATCCAAGTCTGCAGGCAGCACAGTGGGACAGTGGATAGGCAATAACCCACAAATCTTTGTTCCATTGGTTTTCAGTTGAAAGGTGAAAATGGTAGGACATGAATCTGATTTTGGTTGCCTCTACCAGTCGTCAGTATGCCAATAGAGCCTCTGCTGGACTGTCCAGTTCCAAGCCTGCTTTTGGCGTTCCTTTTACCATTTCCGTGTTAGCCGTGCACAGCACATGGCTATCTGGGGAATTTTCCCTGCTTTGCGGGGCCTTGCATGGTTGTGAATTTGTTCGATCACTGAAGTGTTGCCAACTGCAAGGTGGGACAACATTTTTCGTTGCTACATGTACTGTCTTGACCTGGCCCCGTACCACCCCGAATCGAAGTGAGAGGGAACCTCTTGGCAAAGGACTCCTAAGGAAGCCTAATTGCGGGAGAGTCCAGACTGACTGAAAGCACTCAAGGACTTTCCTTCGGCAGAGAAACGATGGGAAAATGCCAGATTTTCTGTAAGCAACTGAAGTCGTGTCAAGAAGTTTGTGTTGGGAATGCGAGGTGAGCAGGAGGGATCCTTTTCCTGTACGCCATTTCTTGCCTTGTTTTTCTTCCTCTCTCGGGACAGCTTCACCGTGGAGCTGTCCATTGCGCCATGACTGTTTCCGTTTACCGTTTACCTTCTAAGGATTTAATGTGAGAGAATCTCCTTTGCTTCCAGCTGCAGAACCCCTTCTCCATGGGGATTTCCTTTAAATTGATGAGGGTTGATGGTTTCCTGTCCACATATGTTTTGAAAAGTTCTGCGCGAAGAAAGTCAGATACAGCCATATAGCCAGCCGGATTTGAAACTTCAGATTTCTTGTGGCCGCGCAATGGCTGTGTGGCTGAGTGGTCGTGAAATGATTGTGAGCAGCTCTGGCTGGATCTGGGTAGCGGGGAAACTGCCGGCAACCCTGGCCGGGCCGAAACTCTGAATTTAACAGTTTAACAGCCTTCGGCATTCTGCCGGCCCTCTGGCGGTTTGGCGGTAAGTACAGAACCCCAGGGTTTAGGAAGGGATGCTTTGATCATTGGAGGAGAGTTGGGGCATTGCTGGATGTCTGGTTTTGACTTGAAACGAGCTGGGGTCAGGTATGAGCTAGGCCTGGAGCTTGATAGGTCATTTGTGAGCGAGTGCAGTTGTGAGAGGGAATTGTAGTTGAAGAGGAACATTAGCCCAAGCTCTAGCTGAGCAAAAGATGTGTCAGAAGAACAGGTGGGGGGGGAACATTAGCATAAGCTCTAGCGGAGCCAAAGATGTATCAGAAGAAACCGTCGAAGAGGAACATTAGCCTGAGCTCTAGGTGAGCTGAAGATGTATCAGAAGAACATCCACAACACACGCCGGCAGGCCGGCGGATTTCATGGAGCGAGTGACATGAACAGAGCATCTGCCTGAGTGAATCCGGCTGGATCTGCTTCAACGCAAATCTAACCAAATCTGGCTGAATCCGAATGTTGTTGCGTTTTGGTGCATTTTTTCCTTTTGGGAGAAATTGTCCGGTAAATCTGGCTACATCTGGCAGAATCTGCCTGTGGCTGGTTACCTTTGCAGATCTGGCTGGTTGAATGGGCAGGTGGAGAACTTGCCTGTCGGTCGTTGAGTTTCGAACTTGCTGAATTGAAAGCATTTTACTTTGCATGTTTGATTTGACCACATTGCTGGAAGTTGGGCGTTGGTTTGTGTGTGTGTGTGCGTGTGTTCATCACATCCTCCTGAGGATGGGTTGGAGGGGAAGCCTGTGGTTGGAAAAGCTCGGCAGCTCTACGATCAACTCAAGGAGAAGCATGGATTGCAGCACATGAGCCAAGCAGAGTACCGTCAGCCCCTTGGCCTGCCATCTCTGAGAGCAGGGTTTGCAATGTCCACTGCGTCCTTTTGTGGTGCGAAATCTTTCCCGTGCTATGAATCTTGCATTCGCTTTGCAACTAGGTATTCCAATTCTTGCCGGACAAAATTTGGTGCCACGTGGGGCACAGGGCTGACTCCACGGGAGATCGAAGGGCTGGACCTCCTCTATCATACATTGACTGTTTTCTGGAAGCATTCAGCAAGCAGAAATTGGATGAAATTGGAGCACAGAATTGAAGGGAAGCGTTCCGTTCTTCCACTTATTGGGTGGGTGTGGTTTACTTTTACCCCACAAGTCCCAAGCTAGATTCGATGAGCAAATTCACGTACTTTCTCTGAGGAGGAAGAGCGGGGCAAGGTAGTCATTGACATCGTGAAATCTTTGAATCGAAAGGTGAGCCGTTGCGACGGCCTGTCGCCAACGTCTCTGGGCCGGCGTTGGAAAATCTGATTCAGAATCAGCAAAGTAGAAGAAGTAGTAATAGTAGTAGCAGCAGTAGTAGCAGCGTAGCAGTAGCAGTAGCAGTGGGAGTAGGAGTAGGAGCAGGAGCAGGAGTAGGAGTAGTAGTATAGTAGTCGTCGTCGTCGTAGTAGTATAGTAGCAGTAGAAATAATAGTAGTAGTAGTAGTAGTAGGAGGCCCTGTTGCCAAGCTCCCTGGCAAATTGCAAGGTTAGTGACCAACAGCAAGATTTACGACATGAGAAACCACAAGCTGCTGGGCCCTGCGCACCTCTTGGCAATGTGGGGGGCCTAACATCCAGTGATCCCAAGATTCAAGCAATCCGGAGATATGAGCTAGAAAGCAATATCAGTACTCTGTCTCATCTCGCCAGCCTGTATTTCAAAATGTTATGGAAATTTTGCGAGCGGCCTGTCCTCTTGTGTGTTCACGATTTTTGCCAGGCATGGATTTGACCTTGACGCCGTGACCTTTCCCTATCAAACGAAGGATTCCCTCTACACTTTGCTGAGCGGAATCTCGACGCCAACTTGAAAATCTCTCGCCCTTGCATTTCCCCAGTTGGATCCGGCTGGTGCACGGTATATGCGTTCATGTCCATGTTGTTGAAGGAATGAGGCTGTGGGTCGTTGATAGTTTACATGTCGTATTGATAACATTGAATGTTACCAATGAAGAATTTGACCAGAATAAAGAAACATTGCAGGTGAGTAGTGTGCCCCAAACGTAGCGAGCACCAAACATACCCTAGCGTAGTCCATACAAAGTCAGCAGTCCTCTGTGTAAATTCCGATTTTATGCTTTCTGATGTGGCAGTCTCGGCTAGAGGCGATCTTCCCACGATTTGTAATTCGAGGCACTTTTGTTTGTTTCGTTTGATCTGGGTTTTCCAGAGAAAGCTTTCGATCCAAGATTGGCATTGCAACTTACGACTTTTGATAGAGTCGCAGCCTGAGGAAATGCGATGTCGGTTCCGGTGATTGGAACAGTTCTCCTGGCAGTACCTCGGCTCACAGCGTGCTGGTCAAAATCACCCACGTTGCTCCCAACAGCACTGCTCATAAAGGGTTTCAACCTTTGTGCTTGGGATTGGTATGGAACCAAGTAGAACTTGTCACCAGGTTCTAAAGGTTCCCTTTGGGGACTATTCTTTGGTGACTGCCGCGCCAGGTGAAGTGCTTGGGCACCTTTTGCTGGTCCTGTCTTTCTGGGTTTCGCTTGTCCCTGTCGACGTCTTGATTGCTGCTGGCGTTTTCTCCTGGGACTGCGGGGGTGGCCTCGCCTGCTGTCTGACTTCCCATTTGGTCTGTCGGTCCTTGCTCAGCGGAAGTTTCCATTCAATGCGATTTTGGTTTGTCGTCCCGCGTTCCTTTTTTAAGTTTTGCGTAGGCCCCGCCGTGTCCCTCCCCCTCGTCGTTTCTCCCGGCGTGTCTCAGTCTCAGCGTAATGTCAGGGTCAGCGGTCTTGACCTTCGCAGTCACGCTTGAACAGGAATCTTGCAATTTGAGCCCTGTGTGCTGTTGGGCTCAAAGGACTAGAACTAAATTAGATGACTTGTTGGGCAATGATTTTCGCTAAAGCGCCCCTCCAAAACAATAATTGTGAGACTTGTCGTGTTTTCTTGGAAATACACTGGCAGAATCCGGTCCGCTAGATTTTCACCTCCGTCAGGAATTTTTGTTGGGTTGCAATTTCTGGGTCTGGGGGCGGTGCGACATTTTTTGTTGGCTCTCAAAAGCGGAACGGAATGCGGGAACATTCTGGAATCTTGGAACCCTAGAACATGCCGTTGGGTTTCAAAGCTGGGATCTAAACGCAGCCCGCATCCCACCAAAGAGAAGGTTTGCAATTCCCAAGATGTGTTGAACTTATTTCTCATAATTGGTTTCTATAGGTAGACAGGTCGATCGATCTAAAGGTAGACAGATAGATGATAAATGACAGATGTAAATTAACTGTGTATTATCTTCAACTGAGACCTAATCGAGGCAGCTCTTTTAGTATGGCTCCTTTTCTTCTTTTTTTGTGCCTTTCTTGCTCCATTGTCTCAGTTTTTCCTTGCGTTGCTGTCGGCTTTGCCTTCTCGTCGCTTGGGCCAACAATCCAGAGTCTTGATTTCTAAAATCGAATCCATCACTTGTTTGGGGCCTGTGTGGCGAAATAACAGTTCTCGAGGGATACGTTTTCAATATAGGTTGAAATCGGGGCCATCTATCTGGCGTGGGTCGCCAAGCCACGCCTGCCTGCCAACCCATATTATTCCTCGTCACATCCCTTTTCAAACTCCCGAAATATTTGTAGAATTTCTGCCCGAATTGTCCAGGGACACCCTGTGTAAGAAGAATACACATTAATCTTGGAAGACAACGTT